CCCCAAAACCCCAAAACCCCAAAACCCCTGAATGCCATTATTAAAAGATAAAATATTTTAATCTAATTAAATTTTGAACTCATAAATATATAATGAGCTGGACAGACAAATTACGTGAATCTAGAGCCTCAATCTTGCAACAGTTCACTTAGCATAAGAACATCAATACAGTAAGGGAAGGACTTAAAAGTATTACTGGTAAGAATATGGAATTCAGTATATGTGTAATAACAAACTGCCGTTCATCCGATGACGATGGAAAATCCATGAGCCAAGCAGATGCAGTTGCTTCATTAAATGAAAATGACCTAAAACTTGACTCCAGAGACATAAAAATATTTGTACATAAAGATTCTACACCTGAGATAATACCTCTAAATCAGGAGAGTTCAGTTCTCTATTTAAATCAATAGACATCTAGAAGTCAAGAGGAAGTAGTCAAAGTTTCAGAAAAATTGGTAAAATCTAAGACTGAGGGGTCTACAACCAAACATAAAAAATCTAAATTAAGTTGTATTACAATAGATAGACTTGTATAGGCCGATGAAATTAAAGAAACAGACAATACTCCTACCCCTATGGGCAACTTAAACTTAAATGACTTCACTAATAGCGCTAGATCCCTAGATAATAGACCAAAGCAAATCAATTCTGACCTCAATCTTTAATTATAGCACGCTACCTTCGAACCCCTTCAAACCACACGTAATGATAATGGAGAAAATGGAACCAAAGAATCTTAAATAATATCTGAGACTCATTTCCTTAGTCCAATTAAAAGGAGGCTTGGATCTAACCAAATGTCGGACGGTGACAACCACTCGACCTATTCTTCATAAGTATCAAGCTTCTATTTGGACAAAATTGATGAATTGATTCCTGAAAAGAAGTCTGTAGCTGAAAAACTTCTTAGAAAGTAAGAGACAGTCAAAGATTTTGAAAATCCAGTCATTGAAACCCCTGCTAAACCGCAAAAGCAACCAAGCCAGTTTAGAATCCCAAGGCAGTTTGTTTACTCCAACAAGCATGCATCTTCTTTCATTAAGTTGAAAGCAGAACTGAAAATGAAACTTCTAAATTATAGGTCTGAATAGGAATATAAAAGGGAATAGGACAAGAAAACATCTGCCCAGGCCTTAAAATATCTTCGAAAGCTTGGAAGAAAGATTCGAAAGTCTCAAAATGTTAAGTTCAATTTTGAGTAGAACAATGCAAGAATGTTTAATCAGCAGCAGCCTAAGAATCCGTTTATGGATTCTGCTCGGTCTCCAATTGAGTAAACAGTTTCATAGGTAAGCCAGAAAATATCTCCTAGACAAGCTCTGATGTAGTAGTAGATGTAATCGAAGAAAGTGCATGAGTATCTCAATAGTCTAAGCGTCAATTAGAACTTTTCACTAAACACTCCAGTCAATGCCAACTTTAATCCCTTCAATCCATTTTCTAGCAGTTAGAAGGAGGCTTAAGAATCTCAGCAAAGTGCTTAGTTTGGAAATTTGAGCTAGCTTCCTCTTCCTTACTTTAAAGCAGATAGTATGAATCCTTCGTTTGAAGCCATAGGTGGCAATAAGTCAGCAACTAAGCAGAATGCTTGCATATTCGATGAGATGACTAGAACCGTTTCTTTTGCTCCATATGCAATGAATCAGTAGTAAGAGAGTTAAAACTAGTATGAAGCAATTGATTAACTGCTATCACCAGTTATGGCCAGAAGAGATATAGATCCAGACACGCTCGATGAGGAAGAAAAAGAATATATCGAGATATGCAAAGAGTACAAGGAGAATGATTTCTATAAGGATTTCAAGAATTACAAAGACTATTATAAGGATGCATTACTTTAGAATATAAGAATCTCGGAGCAATAGAGTGATGCTAGAAATGAGAGTCCTTAAGCCTCTAAAAATGATTAGAAATTAGTGAAGAACATTCAATCTATTTATGGGGCTAAAAATTCATTTTATAAGGAATAATCTTAAAATGAAGAAATTGATAAATTCTTCTTTGAACCAGAAACTAAGAATGAAAAATCTTAAACTAAAGAAGTTTTAAAGCCATCTCCTAAAATGACAAAATAAGTATCTAGACAGTCTTTAGACCTTAAATTATGTAAAAGATAATCGAAATAGCTATACGAAAATCTCATGTCACTTTTGGAAGATGATTCTTTAATGCCAGGAAAAAGACCAGGAAACCTCAGCATTGTTGTTTAAAAATCTGAGGAAGTATAAAATGGATTTGGAATAACTAAGCCAAATTTAATCTAACAGAATTCATTAGATTCTCAAAAATTGAAGGACTATACTAACACCGCTAAAAATAGCAGAGTTGAAAATTTAAGTCCTACAATCCGATTGAGTACTGTTCATAATCCTCAATATAAACTAACTAAACCTGCTATCAAATAAGTTTGCAAAAATTTGAAAGATTTATATGCTGATCTGCTTACAAACAAACAGCAAAGAAAATGCCAGCCTTCTTAGTACAAGGAAAAGAAAAATGTTCTTCAACAGCAAGTATAATCCTAGAATTTCTAATAATAGTAGATGTATAATTTTAATGATTAGTAACAACAGCAGCAGCATAATCAGTAGTATAATTATGATGAAAAGAACTACCAAGCTAACTATAAAGGAGAAAGACTCCTGACTAATGAAAGCTGTTAATCAAACAAAAAGGGAGGCAAGAATTTAAGAGTGCACTATTGAGGGAAAGTTATTGAGATATGAGGATTGCATATCTCTTCAACAGTAAATAAAAGCAAAGTACTGGAACTTTACAGCTAATCACTCTCTAGCAACTATATTTATATTAAAAGAACTTCAAAAATTTGATTTTAATTATTTTATAAAGAGATTTCGTAATTCATATTACTAGACTTGAAATAGTTTGTGGGGTTTTGGGGTTTTGGGGTTTTGGGG